TGCACCCAAGCCTGGAAACGGCCCCAAGCCCAAGCCTGGCCCCAAGCCCGGTCACGGCGGCGAGCCTGCTCCGGCTCCCAAGCCCGTCGCGGGTGCTGGCTTTGCCGACGTCAAGACGGTGGGCATGCTCGCCAACGGCTACTACAGCGGCAGGAACAGTGCGACCGGTCAGCTGGCTGACTACTCGTACAACGTTCAGCTCATCACCCCGCAGCTCCAGCTGCCGCAGAACGGAAGCACCACCCTCACCCCGGGTACTTACAAGGTGCTTCTCCGCGCCCAGCGCGTGCTCACCGAGGGCAAGCTCGAGAGCGACTACGAGTCGTACCTCTCGCACGCCTTCACCATCACCGCTTAAAATTTGGTTCCCTTTCCGGCTAGCGACTCTTAGTAATGCGAATCACGCTCTGCCACCTCCCTTTGTATGCCTTCGCTCAGCACGTTTCTCCTCGCTTGGCCTGTGCACATGCACTGAAACTGGATAAGATTGGCAACTGGTGCTGTCCTAGCAAGGGCTAGGAAACTAAAACGCGACGGTGGCCATCATTTCGGGCCCATACCTCGTACCGCTGACTTTGAAGCTGTTGATGATGGCGTCGATTTCGTCCACCTCGCTCTTGTCGAGGGTGACGTTTGCGGCCTTGTTGTTTTCGATGAGGTACTTTTCCTTCTTGGTGCCCGGAATCGGAATGATGGCGTCCGACTTCTGCAACAACCAGGCCAGCGCGATTTGGCCTGGGGTGGCGTTCTTCCTGCTGGCGATTTTGCGGATGTCGTCGACGAGTTCGAGGTTCTTGGCAAAGTTGTCACCGGTAAAGCGGGGGTTGTAGCGGCGGAAGTCATTCTCCTCAAAGTCTTCCACGGACTTGTACTGGCCGGTCAAGAATCCGCGGCCGAGGGGCGAGTATGCAACGAGGGCGGTGTTGTTGCGTACACACCAGTCGAGAATACCGTTTGTGAGCACATCCGGTGTCCACGGGCTGAGTTCGATCTGAAGCGCGTCGATGTGCACCACCTCGTTCGCCGCTTTGAGCTGCTCGAGGTTGTATTCGGATACGCCGATGTAGCGAATCTTGCCTGCATCCTTGAGCTCCTTCATCGCTGCCACGGTGGTGGTGACGGGAGTGTTGGGATCGGGACGGTGTGCATAGTAGAGATCGATTTGGTCGACACCCAGACGTGCGAGTGAGTCCGAACAGGCCTGATGACACCACTCGCGCGAGCCGTTGAGCTCCATCTTGCCGTCCTTGAGATTGATGATGAACTTTGTGCACAGGAACACCTTTTCGCGAGATCCGGGATGGGTACGGAAGAACTCGCCGATCTGCCCTTCGTTGTAGCCCAGCTTGCCCGAGCTCATGGGCGAGTAGACGTCGCTAGTGTCCCAAAACGTCGCTCCGTCCTCGAGACAGCGCGAGAGCACCTCGTTGACAGTGGGCTGGTCGACGGGCTCGCCGTAAAAGGCTGCCAGGCCCATGGCGCCGTAGCCGATACAGCCGACCTTTTCGCCGGTCTTGCCGAATTCGCGAGTGGGAATGGTCATTTTCAAATCGAAGTTGGTTGCCTTGGGATCCTTGTGAAGATGTGTGCTGGTGTGGAAGGAAGATGGGATGCTCAGATGGGCGTGCTTTATAACTTCCTGTACTCTGGGCTTGGTCCCGGCGTCGAGGGCGCTGCGGAGCACGGCGCGGCATCTTCTCAACACGGACATAGCGCGGCCCGCGACGACTGGACCGACGGAAGGCACTACGCCGTTGTGGCGACCTTCCACACTTGATTCCCGCGGCGACGGGGAGGAAGTGGAGGCGCAGAGGTGGAGGTGTAAATCCCCGCCAATGCCGTGGAGGTGGAGGTCGACTGGTTTCGAGTGACGGCCCGCTCTGTGTCGCTCTCGCCTCTCGCCATCAGACTGCCAGGCATGCGACTCTCCGTTGGAGCCCGCCGACCGGATCCCGTCGAGCTGGCCGAGCATATTGCTCCGCCGGTAACACAGTCCTGCTTGCATTCGCGGCCATGTTTGGCGCGAGAACGTAAGACGGATTCGAGTCTGTACCCTGCAGTCCAACTTGCTTTGTCGAGAGTTGAAACAAGCAGCCTTCCTTTCGGCATGAATGGCCTTCATCTGCGACACAACAACCGCCGGCACACGGTCGCATACGGTGGCTTCTCACAAAGCGACGTATGCTCCATCGGCCGTATAGACCAAGCCGTGGAACAACCGGCTTCTGCCTTCCATCTCACCGACGGCAACGAATCCGCACAGCACGCAGCGCAGGTAAAGCGTCGATCCGGAGAAATATTACAAGCGTCGACTGTATTGGCAGAGTGTGGCATGTGTGGGAGAGCAGCATGGCGCGAGACGCTTAGAGCTTGGACTTCTGGGCCTTGAGCACGCCGTCGAGCTTGGTGGCGAGCATGATGTTGCCCTTGACCTTGAGCTTGCCCGACATGAAGGCCTTCTGGCCGTTGACCTTGCCGTCGGCGAGGTCGATGAAGGTGTCGTCCGAGAGGTTGATGGTAACATCAGCCTTGCCCTTGGCCTTGCCCTCGTAAGCCTCGGCGTTCTGTTGGATGGCGGTACAAAAAGAGAGGTGAGAAAAGTCAGTTACGTGAACAGGAAGGGGGGTGAGCCCAGCTGCCAAGCATCCTGCTCCTCACTACCGGGCAACTGCTCTCTCTCTCTCTCATGCCCCAACAGGCAAGCGGAGGCGAGAGCGCAGTGCATTGGTAGCGGCGAGGAGGAGATGGATGTAGGAGGGCGGCGAAGCGGATTCGAGACGTACCTTCTTGAGGTCAATGGTCCAGACGAGCTCCTTGCCGCCGGCGTTCTTGACGTGCATCTCGAAGACACCGTTGGTCTGTAGTGTGGGCACAGATCAGTCCAGGCAGACGTTGAAGAGACGGAGCGGAGAACCGTAGCGTTCGAGGGCAGACGCAAGGCGAGATAGCAAAAGGGACGGTTTGGGCAGATAGAAACAGTCAGTCATCCATCCGATGGACAATTTGGGCGAGTGAGCGGCGTATGCGAGCCCACCTGGGCATCGCAAGCAGGCAAACAGCCACGACGAGTGGGTATGCGTACCTTCTTCTGGATGTCCTTCTTCTCCTTGTCATCCATGGTCTTGAGACCCTCGGTGATCTGCTCGAAAAGAGCCTGGGACTTGAAGTCGGACATGTCGGCTAGAGTATGTGTATTGGGGGAGGAGGAGAAAGAGAAAAAGAGGGTAGAGCGTATGGTGGAGTGGAAGGAATCATTGGCTGGATGCGGGGCTGGATTTATGTAGTCCTGGCGGGGGCTGGTTGGGCGTGAATGCGTCGGCGTCGCTGCTGCTGCTGCTGCTGGGCTCTCTTTGACTCACATCGAAGCCGGCGCTGTCGGGCGAGGAGAGCAAGCGATCTGGGGAAATTGGCGCTCCTGCCTTTCCTAACGGCAACGGCACCGTGTCAGATGGGCAGTCGCAGTTGCAGTCCTGGCGGCCGCGCCCACCCCACCCAAAACGCCCAGCAGGATGATGCAGCGTCAGGCGCGCCATGGCAGTCCGACTCAACTCCACCTGCTCGACTGCCCTGGGTCGGCTAGCGTGAATCCACGCATTTTGGCATTTCCAAAAGCAGCGTGAAAGTGTCGAGCCTCGAGAAAAATGGGCGGCGCGCACTTGGCCAGTCTGTGCTCGAGGACTGACCCGGCCAACTCGGTGCCTTGGCTGCCAGAGGTGCAAAAGGGCTCTACGCCGCAGATTGGCGCTCCGATGCGCGACGATCGGCATCTCTCCTGCCTGTCTTGCTCGTCTAGCAGCAGCAGCAGCAGCAGCAGCAGCAG